GGTTAGGGTTAGGGTTAGGGTTAGGAACAGGGTTAAGGTTAGGGTTAGTTAGGTTTAGGGTTAGGCTTAGGGTCATTAAGGTTAGGATTAGTGACGGCCATTAGGGTTAGGGAGAGTACAGCGTAACCTTTACAGCTGTGTGCGAGCAACGCATGTTGTGATGCTGGGTTTTCTTCCTAGTGTCACTGAAATCGGAGTTAAACCTTGTAATACCAGTGTAGCATTAAAAAGCAGACATTCTTTATTACGACACCAGATGCACAGGGGATCGCTCCGCCTAGCATGCATGCTGTATGTTGCCTCAACCAAAGCTTGTATCACCCAGTTACATGCATGTGCATTAAGTTTCCTGGAATGATCATAAGTATTTTTTCTGTTTCCTGGAACTAATTATCATATTTGCATAGTCATATCGCATGCCAGTGAGGTTTCCTGCGGGGGTCTTTGGTGATCACTGGTGCTTCTTCGGGGCTGTAGAACTGGTCCTTCGTTTCTGCTTAATCTTCGTGACGTTTCTTATCATTCTTATGTATCACATATCCTCCCTGTACATCTCCTGTCCTATTTTACAACAATAGTGCAGTGTAGAAAGCCTCTTCTGTTGCACCTCCTGGTAATTATCCCGCATGTTTTGTGTGTCTCCTCAGGAAAGTATGCCATGGATGCCTCCCTTTGCAGCTATGTTGCACAGCAGCAGCTACAACAGGAACCTGTATCAGTCAAAAGAGGACCACTGTGGAGGGCTCTGTTACCATGACAACAACGTCCTGTCAGGGTCTTTGGAAGCTCTGATGCAGCAATTGGTAGCCAATGTCTATTACTATCCTGATGTACATCTATACATCCAGTTGACTATATAGCAAGGCCTGATGCATCTTGCAAAGGGGAACTTTGTGGTTCAACCCAGTAGCTCGCAGTCAGGACCATGTAGCTGCTCACTCACTCCTCCCCCCCAGCTGGATGGGGAGAAGAAAGGGAAAAATAGAGAAAAACTCGTGGGTTGACATAAAGACATTTCAATAGGAAAACACGAATATTAATTAATAGTAATACTAATAATAATGAAGAATACGCAAAATAGACAAGTTTGCAGAAGGCAAAGGCAGGGACTGGGAGAATGAAGAACTGCCCACTGTAGGAGAAGACCAGGTTCAAGACTTCCCATGGAATCTGAAGGTGCACAAGTCCATGGGGCCTGAGGAGGTGTAGCCGCAGGTCCTGAGGGAACTGCGGACTAATTTGCCCGACCACTCTCCATCATATTTGAGAGATCGTGGCGGTCTGGTGAGGTTCCCACTGACTGGAGAAGGGGCAAAATCACCCCCTTTTTTAAGATGGAAAAAAGGAAGACCCGTGGAACTACAGGCCAGTCAGTCTCACCTCTGTGCCTGGCAAGATAGTGGAGCAGATCCTGCTTGAAACCATGCGAAGGCACATGAATAACAAGGAGGTTACTAGGGACAGCCGTCGTGGCTTCACCGAGGGCAAATTGTGCCTGACCAACTTGGTATCCTTCTATGATGGGGTTACAGCGTTGGTGGACAAAGGGCGGGCAACTGACTTCTTGAATCTGGACTTGTTCAAGGAATTTGACACTGTCCTGTATGATGTCCTTGTGTCTAAATTGGAAGGACATGGATTTGACAGATGGACCACTCCTTGGATAAGGAACTGGCTCGATGGACGCACTCAGAGAGTTGCAGTCAATGGCTCCATATCCAGGTGGAGACAAGTGGTGTGCCTCAGGCGTTGGTACTGGGGCTGGTGCTGTTCAATATCTTTGTCAGTGACATGGACAGTGGGACTGAGTGCACGCTCAACAAGTTTGGCGACGGCACCAAGCTGTGTGGTGTGGCTGATATGCTGAAGGGCAGGGATGCCATTGAGAGGGACTTTGACAAGCTGCAGAGGTGTGCCTGCATGAGCAGCCCTGAGGAGGAGGACTTGTGGGTGCTGCTGGATGAGAAGCTCAACATGAGCCAGCAATGTGCGCTTTCAGCCCAGAAAGCCTGTCATATCCTGGGCTGCATCAAGAGAAGCATGGCCAGCAGGTCGAGGGCGGTGATTCTGCCCCTTTACTCCACTCTTGTGAGACCCCACCTGGAGTACTGTGTCCAGCTCTGGAGCATTAGCACAGGAAGGCCATGGATGTATTGGAGCAGGTCCAGAGGAAGGCCACGAAGATGATCAGAGGTCTGGAGTACCTCTCCTACGAGGACAGGCTGAGAGAGTTGGGGTTGTTCAGCCTGGAGAAGGGAAGGCTCTGGGGTTACCTTATAGCATCCTTCCAGTGCCTGAAGAGGGCCTACAGGAAGGATGGAGAGGGGCTTTTTTACAAGGGTTTGTAGTGATAGAACAAGGGGGATGGCTTCAAACTAAAAGAGGAGAGATTTAGATTAGATATTAGGAAGAAATTAGTTAATGTGAGGGTGGTGAAACACTGTATGAGGTTGCCCAGAGCAGTAGTGGATGCCCCCTCCCTGTGGGGGAGGTGGTGTTAAAGGCCAGGTTGGATGGAGCTCTGAGCAGCCTGGTGTAGTGGAATATGTCCCTGCTCTTGGCAAGAGGGTTGAAACTAGATGATCTGTAAGGTCCCTTCCAACCCATACCATTCTATGATTCTATTCTAAACAATACAATTTTTTTTCTCACTACCTGACAGCCAGTCCCCAAGCAGTGATCATGGAAAACAGAAGTTGTGGATTGCGTGAATTTTTCTGGAACTCCTTAAAAAAGATCAAACTAAAAAAGTGTGAGAAACTTTTATTTAGAAAAAGAAAAGACAAAAATTTTAACTCCCAAGAAAAAAGGATACTTGCAATTTCCAGAAAAGAGAGATTCCTGCCCTTTGGCCAGACCCTTTTGTAAACTGAGCATGTTGTCTATGGTTTGGAATATTTCCATTGGCAAGCCTGTATTGCTGCCTGGCTGTGATTCCTCCTTGCTCCTGCACATCTGCTCATTAGCCAAAGATGGGAAACTGCAAAAGTCCTTGATTTCTTAGCAACGCCTGAGAACATCAGTGTTATCAACAGGCTTCATGTACTTATTCCAAAACTCAGCAGCTGGTGGGAGGGAAGTTAACTCTATCGCAGCCAAAACAGGGAAAATGCAGCAAAAGCAGTTGTCATATCAAATGCTGAGGAAGAGGTTAAAGTAACTGACAAGCTATGATGGGATAAACATATACCACATGTGAGAGCAGCATGCAATAACTCACCTAACTAGGAAATCTGATTCTTTATTTCTTCTGTTGTGACATATGAAACACTGGTGACTCATTTATGATACGTATGTACCTAAAGTGGCTTTCTGTTTAATGGATTCTGTGTACCCTTGACCCTTACAAATCTGTCAGGCAAGCTGAAGACAAAAGCATGACCACTGGCATGACAAGGTGAATATGTTTAGTTAAAAAGTAGTTTTAATCTATATTTCCCATTGCTCATCTGAGGTCCACATTTATCTTACAATTAGCAACTGAAGTGTTGAGCTATTATCGCACTGTTAGGAATCAGCAAAATCTGGACATGAGAACAGGACATTTGTCATCTGAGAATTTTTTGTCTTGTCTTAGATGCGTCTGTTAAGATATTTTATATAAGTCTTAGAAAAGAAAAATGATATCTAAAAGGTCGGCGTGCAGTTGGGGATTACTGAGGTTTGAAATGAAGACCTAACTCTGCTTGTATTCAGCTTCTGTTATTATCAAAGATCTAGTCACATTTCCAAGAACAGATCCTCTTTTAACCTTTGTCAGCAGCACAGGACTGTGCTTGAGCCAATACTTATCCATTAATGCTTAATGTTAATTTTAAACACGTAGTAATTTAGACACCAGTGTCAAACAGGATAATTTATTCCAAGTACCTAGAAACAGAACATTGTAGAATATTTCCCGTGGGTGCCTAAGATACTTTACTACTGGCAGTGTGAGGAGTGGAGTGGATATTTTGAATATCCTCTCACAATGAGTTCAAATCATGACATATGGAAAATCAAAGACAAATGAGGGGCTTCCTCTTGTAAGTTAGAACGAGTTACTAAATTTTATTCTATACAATTATGCTATGTAGTTCCTTCCGCTTTCACCAAGAAGACAAGCAATACTGTAAGAAATGAACAGTATTTGGGGATTCTTAAAAGAAGTACATTGTCATAGTGTGCAGTTTACTGAGGTCAGACAAGCACAGTATAGTAAAGGTGGTGTATGGGGCGAAACAGTCAGCTCAACAATCTCATCAACAGGCTTCTTTTTTGTCCTTTTTCTGAAGACTGTTTACTTTCTTTAGCAATGTGGAAGAAGACGAGATTTCTCTGTTGGTATTCTAAGTAGCTTGGACTTGCAGCATGAATTTTATTCCGCTGTCTGTCTAGAAAAAGTTACATAATCTTGTCATGGCTCTCTCAAATGTTTGCTATAGAGCAGGAGAAGACGAGTTGAAATTTTATTCTGAGTAAATTTAGATACTGAGCTTGTAATAAGGCTTTGTGCAGTAGGAGTGCTAAAACAGCCCTACCCTGACTGCTTTTGCTTAAATCCTGCATAATTTGGGTCTAGAACAAAATTATAACACTGATTCTGGAGTAAGTGTTATATTAAATGCTTACTGCCGTTTTAATAGCACTTGGCACAGCTGCAGGCAGTTTTCTTCTGCAGATACTAAAGTGTTAGGAACTGATTTGTCCGGAATGCACTTTGAGAATAAAACTGTTGTTAGTTTATGCCAGCTTCCTTTGTTTTGCAGAGGACATACATTTTCACCTTCCTTCTCAGTTCACGCCTATTCATGCACCCGTAGGACCTCATGGCCAAAGTATGACATCTGTGCCTTTAGCAGCAGAGACTAAGTGAGCCTGGCCTGGACAAGGTAAGGTCTCTTAGTCTCAGCGACTCCTGTTAGTTCCAGTCAAATGTCTCTACCCTGCCCACAGCAAAGTTTTTCTAGTCAAGGGAGTCCTCAATAGGATTAAACAGATTGAAAACCTGATATTGGCAAATAGAATTTGACCCTTTGTTCAATGGCATTCGTGGGAAATTTCCACACTGCTCAGCGTGTCCTCCATGAAGACTGTTGCTGCTGTTGTTGTTTGTTTTATCAATACATGGGCCAGAAATAAAAGTGTTTTCTGTTAAGGGCGTATCCTGCACTGGCCGTGCAGTGGTTGCTTTTGTTTCAGAGTTCTGAATATCTTGCCATAAAATGCCAAAATGTTGGAAAGACTGATATCCATAAATTTAAAATTTCCACTTACTAGAGTGTTTGTAATTAAACTAAAGTAGATCCATGCTGTTTTGAGAAGACAGGAAAGCTCTAAGATAAAGAGGCTCCTAAATAACACTACTTAGACAAATTTGACATGTTGTTTTGGGGAGGAATCGGAAAGGTCTAAGATTGAGAGACTCCTAAATAATGTTATTTGGACAGCTCAGACTTGGGAGGGCAGATGCATCAAGTCACAGAGGTAAAGAGGCACCAAGAAGGCAACAAGACCAGAGCAAAACAACCTGGAAGGACATGGTATGCTGATCTTAGAACTGATTTTGTGCAGAAACAAATGTCAACTAGTGAACACTGTGATGAAGAGTATAAGCCTTCATCTTAGGACACCCAAAGACCACCCGAGGATACTAACAGACATGCATGAAAGATATTAACATATGCTATTTAGTTCTTGGTAAAGTTACGAACTAAGCATTTCTCGGAAATATAATGAATATATTTTGTGATTGTATTCAACCTGAAATGACAAAGTGTTTGGCGCCCACGTTTGGAGGGGAGAGCCTCCGTGTGCCTGGCACCACAATAAAGAATAACTTCTTAACATTCTTCTGACTACTGAGTCTTCAATTCCAGCTTTTCACGGCATCAAGACCTAAAGATGAACAAAGTATGTCAGTGGGAATTACACTGACCTGTCTTGCGTGCTTAAGTTACACTCTTGCTACAGTCTTTGCAGAGTGGCTTAGATTCCTAGCCCCTTTGCATGGGAGTGCATCGGTGTTTCTGTTTGTCATGTCTAGAGTTGAAAGGGGGCAGGAAGTGAACATTTGGATAGAAATTCCACCCTTGTAGAAAATAATACAAATTAAAACACTTGAATAATTCCACTTCTTTCTCACTATGAGGTATGCATAAGTCTTGGCAGAAGTGGAGCTTATCATTTTCATTTTTGAGAGTTATCCACAAGTTAAGGAAACACTAATAAATCCTTTGCACTGAGACACTCCTGATAATGAGGTGAATCACTGTAAGATTTACACCTACCTGGGGCCTAATTTCCAGGTCAGGTAAGCCAATGAGAGTCTGATCATTGGCTTCAATGGATAATGGCTCTGACCTGTACTGTGATGCTGAGTTAAATTAAGCTTAAAATTTTAACTGACTTTCAATAGCCTTATGCTGCTCAGTATATTACAGAAGTGAATGCTGTTTCCTTTGGTTTAGATAAGTGCTGTATTGCTGATACATGTAACATTCCTCCTTACTGTTTTCAAATACGACAGGATATTAAAAATTGCACCCAAAATACTGCTGTTGTTGACTGAATGGACAGAGACATTTCCTTATGATTTCCGAGATGAAAGAATGGTGAGGAAATTAATGGAGTTGGCACAAAGTATAGCCAGTGTTGATGAGGTAATTCGTCTGAGAACAAAATATTGGATAGTAAGGCGTTCCTTTAATGCTTTGATACTGCAGGCTAGTTGTTCTTCATTACATGGTTTGGCTCTGTGTGACTGACCTAACTTATTATGAATGTGCTGGTAGGCAAAAAGTTATGTCTGGTACTGAGGCCTAGGAAGAAAACATACAGTATAAGCAGATCCTTTTCAGAGCAACGGCAAAGTTCACTCCATCCCTAAACTCAGAGTAAAACTGCTCATTTTGCAGACAGACGCAACTTAGTCGTTGTTAATATTTTTTGTTTTAGTGATTCTACTTCATAGAACATAGTTAAGACACTGGGAAGCCTTGCATGTCTGAGAAATCCAAATTACCAGTGTTTGTAATTTCTTTCATTTTTGAGTAAGTTGTGCTGGAATCGGGCTTCTGACCTGTAGGTCAGTGGAAGAGTTACAGAAGGATTGCAAAACAGTTTCCAAAAGAAAACTGGACAAGGAAGTATCGTCTTGAGCTTAAAGCAACAGATATGGAGTTGGAGGAGTCCCAGTTCTCAGATGGAAGTAAAGTTTCACAGAGGTATTACGAAATATTTTGATGCTTAATGGATGTTTGTCTTACCAGTAATGAAATAAACTCAGCCAAAAGCTGAGGCTTATATTCACTTCGTGAGAAGGTAGTTGACAAGGTTTCAATAAGCAGATCATGTGTAGCTGGCATGACAATAAGATCAAAAAGACAGCAGAGTTGCTTTTCGAAGAACTCTAAAAGCAAAGAGCAATTGATAAATAGCATCGAGTGTCTAGTGTGCCTTATGTAAGCTTTTGAATAATTATGCCAGTGAGGTAGCAAACTGTCTGTTAACAAGCATGTAGGTAAGCTTTAGTGGGAGGAGCTGTTAGTGCTGTCAGATGTCTGGAAAGCTCTTGAGAGACTGTAAAAGAGGATGAAAGAGAAAAAATCTAAGCTGAAATATGCTTTGATGTTGTGAAAGTCAGGAGGGACAAAAGAAGATGGAACTACAGACTGAGACATAGTGTGGAATACAAATGGAAATGATACCAAATTTGATGTGTAGTCTTAGAGTAGATGCAAGATAGGTACAGGGGACTTTGGACTGTGGAGAGGCAATATGTTTGCCTTCACAGTAGGGTTGCCAGGAGGCACCTTTCCTTCAAAAGTGTTTCTGCACTGTTGCTTTGTTTCTTGGTAACCTGAATAGGAAGATAGAAAACTGGCGTTCAGATCATAGAACACTAATAAGATTTGAGGACTCACACCCACTTGAAAAATACCCACTGGCACAAAAAGGGAGCTCAGCAATTTAGGGTGGGTTAAGCTGAGTTGGTGGAGCAAGAATGAAATGGCATCAGAGAAGTGTGGTCTGCATTGACGTTTCTGGCAGTAGAGACCTTTAAACTGTGAAATCATCTATTTAGGGCAAAGGCAGATATACAAACTGCTAGAAAATGGGGGTCTAGAGAACAACCTTACTCTGGTATTGAGCTATAGATCTTTTCTAGCTCTAGCTTTGAGGTTTTTTTGACTTTGAGTTTTCCTTTAGAGAGAAAAAGGGAAAGCAAGCACTGCAGTAAAATGACTTGCATTGTCGTGAACTGCTTGGAACAGTAAATGGCAACTTGCTTTTCTATAGATTGCTTGAATTTGTGCAAGTCATTACCTTGAAGGACACAAAAGATGTAGTGTTTCCTATTCCTGTTCACAACAGCTCTTCTACTTATAACTTCTTATGCACTTCAGAAATTATTGTGCTCCTGTGCTGTTAAGAGCTATCAGAAAGAGTCTAACACCATTCACCATGCTAAAATAGTGGTCCATGAAGAGAAACGTCTCTGGAAAAACCTTGGTGGGTTATTTTTATCCCCTTCTTTTCCCTCAATTTAATTCTATTCCTTCCACTTTTCCATCCCTTGTGTCCTGAGAGGTCATCATGCTCATGAGTTATTTCTTGTTGTTCTAGTCCCTTTTGCCTGTTAACCGACCTTTGTTTCAAGGTACATCTTTTGAAAACTTTGCCATCGGCCTTTGCCTCCCATTTCTTGATTACTTCCACAAAAACATTTATTAGTGGCTTTTTCTGTGAAACACTTGGCGAGTGTATGCACTCACATCAAAGCCATGTCCTGTATCCTGATGTCTTTCCATGTGCAGCCCAAGGTTGCACTGATCTCTCCTCTTCTTTTTTTTTTTTTTTCCATCATGTTACAACATAGTGAGATTGACTGTGGAAACTCATTTAATATATGCTATTTCATAAATAGCAGGTAGTAGTACTTCAAGTCACTATCTGTGCAGGACGGACACAAAGGGCTGAGCTCGAGGTGAAGTGTCCCATCTCTTTGTCCCATGCTGTGGAATTCTTCGATGTTTTGAAATAAATACCAACATTGTCAGTGTGAATATAAAATCGAAAATGAGACTGTGGGACAAACAGGTGGAAAAGATAAACCTAATTTAGAGGAAGACCATATGGTCTGGTAGCCATAGTGCAATCAAATTAGTATCTAATTGATAAAAGACATATTATGAGAGTTTATTGTTGTGTTGTTAAATATATGTACATATGATATTTTAAAAATGCATGAGATTAAGTAATGGCCCAACAACAAATACTTGTTATGGGTGCAAAGGGCAGTACATGCTTATCCTCACACAGAATGCCTTGAAGTCACTGCGCCCTTGCTCAAGAGGAGACTCAGGCTCAGAGGAGAAGAGGGATGTTGTTTTTGCATGCTTATGAAGTGTGGGAGGAAACTGGCATTTCCTTCTGCCTTCGGGCTGAGAGGGTTTTATCTCATCACTGGACAGAGTGATGATTCTAAAGTTGTTAGATCAGATGTGAAAGAAAAGAAATCAGGGTATCTGTGCCAGTTCGACTTTTCTCTGCGGTTTTCCAGGTAGATAAACGGTTACAACAGAATTTGGTGGTTCAGCTTTGTATCTTCACCAGTTTTCTCCCTGATTTTTTGTCAGTTCCTAGTTGGCATAAATCACAAATTCAGTCAAGGTTTGTTTTTTGCTTTGAAGCTCAATCCACTTATTATTACATGATTTTCACCAGCAGCCAGATTTCAACCTATTTTAGATGTTTCTTCCGTTCGCTGTTGATTACTGGTACCTTAAGTTGGCAAAAACAAAGACTCTCTAAAACTCATTTGGGAATTTTTCAAAGCGAGCATTCTTTATTACACAGCCGGATACATGGGGAGATTTCCTCCTAGCGTGCACACCACGTATCAAAGCAGGCGTTTCTTTAATCAGTTTCTTGTCAAAATTTTCAGCCCATGGGGCTGTCCTATGCTGCTCACTGGTTACATCATCTACACAACGCTTGGTCAGCATTCTCACACTGCCCATGTTCAAAGAGCAGGGGTTCCGGTGTCTTTCCCCAGGTGGTGTGATTTTTAGTATTAAAATGTATTATAAGGAAGGATAGGTTACTTTCAGACACTACTTTTCAGCCAGAACCAGCCAAAACTAAGCAGTGACAAGCAATCTTCTCAGCGTGTTTTATTCACTACAAGGACAGTTCCCTTGATTTAAAGGCTCTTCTTGGATTCTTGAAGGCAAAGGTTTCAAACACATTCCTACATCTTGTCCGACATAAGAAACAAAGTCCTGCTGTTCTAACTATACTAAGGCCTTTTTGATAACATTACCAGCTGCGTAAGAAAATGCTTTATAAAGTTCTCTTAAGTGAAATTTTAAAGAATTTGGAAGGGAATGCATCAGTGAAGCAAGGTTCTGTGTACGTCACCTAACATTGGTTAAGGAATGGAAGCACTTGAAGTAATACTTCTGTGTCTTCCTACAGAAAAATGTAGATTCTTTTCTTTAAACACTTGAGATCGTTATCTCCTAAGCCACTCTGGTGAAAAATTATGCTTTTGTATTTGTCTAGAAAATCAAAATACATCTAAGCAGAAAGAAAGTATTTACCGAGCAACAACACAAATTCAGCCTTTGTGGAACAAAACTGACTTCTAGAATCTGAACCAAGATAGTCCTGTAGTGCTTGAGTAAATTTTGAAATCCATATGAATGGCAGCTTTGGAGGGAATGACAAATATATTAGAATACAGGAAACATTACTGCCTTGGAGGGATCACACCATACTGTGCTAGTGTGTATTGGATGCTCCTTTTTTCAGCCCTTTAGCACTGCTTTAATGGCATTAGGATGCTATCTGGAAATTGGAAGAGAAACCGCCTTGGGGTCTGTCACACAGATCTATCTAATTAAAAGTCGAGTCCTTCTCGTACTTAAATTTTTCACTCCTGGTAACTGAAATCGCTACATGGAAAGGCCTACAAGGTGAAAGAAAAGAGAGATGGCTTTATTATCTTCTCCCTTTTCTCAGATTTACTGCAAGTTTTAACTCTGACTTCAGTGAAACTGGCTTTGATTTGCTTCAGAGAGAAACAGGCCCTTTTTTCATTATTGAATGAATTTTTTTTCTGTGCTCTTAAGCAGGAGAAGATGGAGAATTTTGATTTATTCTCTTTTGTCCGGTGAGTGGTGGTACTTTCCATACAGTGTAGATTGTACTTGTCTTTTCTGCTGCTGCTTGAGATAACAATGTCACTACTGAATCTGTGAGACAATCAGTGTTTAAATACACAACTGGATTCCCTTTGGTCTGATGAAACGCCAATGTTAGAAAATAACATAGTTGATCATATCTCGACAACAAATACAGGAATCATCCGCAATCTGTTTTGGTGTAATGCAAACTTTAATACTATCCTCTCACATTTTGAAAATGTCTCCCGTTTTTTTCACTTTGTGACAGATGTACGGGAAGAACTTGGAGCAGCCTCTCCAGAACCTCGTTCGGAAGATCACCACTCTTAGACAGTATGAGGAAGCATTTGCAAAAATTAATGCCACATCCACAGATTGCCTTAGAGTTATAAAGACAAAGCCCAGTCCATCCAGAGGGACATAATCACAGTGTGCAATGATCTCTACATGTTAGCTCAGCAGCTGACACACATAGAACTTGGGAGTTGTGATTCTTCAAGTATGATATCATTCTTGCCCTCTTTTTGAAATAGGATATGACTTGGCTGCTTGTGTGTTTTCTTTAGGAGAGACTCAATTATATTGGACAAGAAGACTTTGTCCAGGAGTTTGTGCAAAACGAGCTTTTGGATAATGACAAGGTAATTGGAGCTGATCTGGAGCAGCTCTGAAATGCGGCATGCAACATCCTGGAGCTCGTTCCCCATGAGATTGGAAGTGACGTCCAGCAATAAATGAGGACAAGTAGAAATGAGTTTTAAAGTGAAAAGACTCTTAAAAATTTTGTTTGTGCTTTTTCTTTCTGGAGGGCAACTCCTGGAGCTCCAGAGCTCAGCCAACAGATTTAATTAAATTAACACATTGCTGTTTTTTCTGCTTTAAGCTAAGGGAGTACTTAATCCTGTGAATGTTTTCTCCAGGCCACCTGTGTGGTGTACAGCTGGACAAAGCAGATTTTAACTTCGGCTTTTACGTTAGTCATTTTCAACATCTGTTCTTTTTAGTAAATTAAACTCTTTGCAGAAAACTGGTAATTGGGAAAGTTTTCAGGTAGAGAACTACTTACAAAAAGGGGGCAGTGAGCTCTATATCTATGTGACATGAAAGGCAAAGATGCAATGCTTTTAGATAACCGTGCAAGATTTATCATTTCCTTGAGTGCTGTTTTCTAGACGACGTATGCGCTGTAAATAAACTCTGCCAAAGTCAGGCAGTTGAAACTTGAATTACTATCCTCCCTATAACTGGCAAACATAATAGAATGATTCAAATTCACAATCTGATGTTCAGTAAGACTGTCTCTGAAAATTATATTATAGGTAGCAATGACTAAAACTCCTGTGTACTCCTTTTTAGGCAACTCTGAGACGTGTTGTGGGAATTGTGCAAGATACTTATAGAACTAATAGCATTTGTTAGGAAAGGGAGAATCCAATCAAAATGTTGGGGCTAATGACCCAAAGCTACACAGCAGTATGTTAGTACGGCGTTAACAGCTGAACATAATGTGACAGTGGACAGCGCTGTTTTCCTTCTACACTTGCAGAGGGAAAAACGTGTTGTCTCTACTAAATCAATGGCGCAGGAGTGAAGAATGAAACACTGCTCATATTCAAGGAAGCTTTAAGCAGATACTTCAGTTTGTTTGCATAAGTCTATCCTAAGTCCTTCAAGCATTCTGTAAGGACTTACAGCGGGTGATAGATTCCGCGAGCCTGCTTGTGTGCTTTTCTGAGCCAACATCTCAGGAAGAAGTCATAGACGCATGTCTATGCAAGTCTTCAGAGATCTAAATCCCCACATTTTGATAACAACTTCAGTGATAAATTGGAATAGAATTTCTTCCTGCAGAATGGAGGATTGATGTCTTCTATTGTTTCTACTGCATCATAAATATCCTAGTGGTTTAAAAATTCCACATCTTTTTTATATTTGATAGGAAATTATTGGGAATTTTGGGTTTTTATTTGAAATGTGAAACTTCATAGATACGTGCAGTTTTCCTTGAAATACATAAGAAATGGTGTTAGGAAAACTTATTTTGCACATTTCTACCGTCTATTAATGTTTTATCAAAAAAATGTTAATGTATGTAGGCTCTAAAAAAAAGCTGTTAGACTGTTTGATTTCATTTCCAGAGTTGTTTTTAACATTGGAATTTCAAAAAAACGAAGCGTCTTGATTTCTGAGTAGCTCTGTTGAAAGTATTTGTTATTGGTAATAACTCCTTTACTTTAGAAATACTTACTAGCCTTAGCTCCTTGAAGGATTTGTTTTTTATGTAATCCAACAATTTCTTTCTCTTACATCAAGCTGGCATGAACATCAGTGCTGTGTCTTGGTTAAAGAAATTTGGGCTAAAGTGAAGCCAGCCAAATTTTATATTCTTGCAGTAAGCTTGGGCAATATTTGGACACTAGGCTGTAAATGGCATTTTACTTTTAACTGCTCTAAAATGTGAGTTTGGCTTCACTATGACTTCCTTAATTTACCATATTTGTGCTCTTAATAGAAATTCTAAAGCCTGTAATAAGAATTGTACAGCTGATTTGTGATATTTTGGAAAAAAGTAGGAAACATCTTGAAAGGGAGATATATTTAAGAGGGATTTTGTGGATTGTCCTGATACAGTTCTGCTGTTGGAAATCAGGTTGAGCTGTAAAGTGGCTGCCTTGCTGTTTCACAGGAATTTGTCTTGAACTACTTTATTGCCAGTTACCTGCACATAGTAGAGTCCTTTGCCAAAGATCATGTAGGAGCAGCAGTATATGAGTTTGTGATTTACCAAAAAGATTATTTATCAACATGTTAATTATCCTGCTGTAAACGGCAATTTTCAGTTAAGGTTATTTATTAGCAAGATAATGAAAATGTAATGTTTTGTACATGATGCAAGCATGAAATTTTCATTAATATCTTCAGGAAATTTGAATTGTATTATGACAACAGATTAAAACTGGATGGCTGTAGCCACCTCACACTTCCCTCTCCCACGCTTGGGTGGAAAACAGCCTCCCTTTTGTCAAGGGTGGCTGCACAGCTCAGAAAGTTGCTCTTAAAATTACAGCCCAATTTCAGTTGACCTTACTGTGCAGGGTGGAGTTTGCTGCTTAAGGTCATGCTTTGTGAGCCACGTAGTCTTAGTAATTGAGGTGCAGTAGTCAGTCACAGAACAATGAGATGGGGGCACTAAAAGCTTTTAGGTGTCTGGTCTTACTTCGCCATTGCAACTAAATCAGCTCTGAGAAACCTGCATACTAGGAAGACCAGAATATTAGCCCCAAGATTCATTGCTGTCTTAGTTTCATGATTTTGGCTATTGAATTAAAGCTGAGCTACCTTTTTTGTGGTGAGAGAAAGAAGATGCTTTAGGCCTGCCTTTGCTTTCCTGCCCCTAACTTGTATAGGAGCGCTTGTTGTGCTGAGTGAACAGTTTTTAAAACAAATTTCTCTTCTGGTCGAATGAACAGATAAAGAGAAACTGCAGCCCTCTAAAAGGCCATATTTATGGTGTAGATCAGCAGACCTCTTTCTTTTTAACATAGTTGCTCAAGCCACAAAGAATTGTGTTGTGATGACGCTGGCTCATTATTTATGTTTTTTCACGCCCTGTAGCATCAGATGGGCCCTTCCAGCAGTTCTATAATTTCCTAACAGCTCATAGCAACACAGAGAATCTCTGTTTACAAATGACTGGCAGTGGGCAAAAATGAAATGTTCTTGTTAAGCTACATGGTAAGCTTTTGTCTTGGAATTCTGATACTCAGCAAATCTACCCCTGGTGTGCTTTTAAAAAGAATAAAAAGCCTCAAAACTGAATCCCTCTTTACTGAGAATGTATAAATTTCACATGTAAGCTGCTAAGAAGGTAAATAGAATATTTGAAGTAAGCACGTGGCTCAAAGAACATGTCTGCCTGTTCAGTTTGGTGCTGACTTTAAGCTGCAAACATTAACAGATTGCTTTGATTATTTAAACAAACACATTTAAATAAAAACTTTGCATCCTCTCATTTCTTTTTTAAGAGAATTTTATCTCATCAACAAGTAATACAGATGGAAAGGCTTAGGACTGAAATGAGGTAGCTAGTAATTAGTGATTATAGATGCTACTTGTACTAAATTTTAATTGGTTTATGGATTAAGATTGAAAAGTTTTAAAATTTGTTCGAAATAAGTGTTCTAAAACTCAAATTTGGACAGAGCATCTGTCTAGATTCTGTGAAGTCCCCTTCCTGTGTACAGTCTTCAGGTGAGCCTTAAATATACTCTGGAGTTTTTTAGTGGAAATGGTGAGAAGAGACAGTTGTTTGTGGAAAGCATTGAGTTTAAAGCTTTACTTTTCAAAATAAATTAGCTTATGACTTCCTGGTCAAACTATGATAAGCATTTCTTGCAAATGTAATGAGTGTGTACGTTAACATAGCATAAATACCTAGTAAGTGTGTCCTTTTGGTGCACACGTTTGGAGGAGAGATCCCCCGTGTGCCTGGCAACTTAATAAAGAATACCTGCTTAATAGCCTTCCGACTATTGAATCGTCTACTGAATCTTCAATTCTGACTTTTCACGGCAGCAGTTTATAGAAACAATTTTGATATTCGTGATTTTTTAGTGGGGGAAACAGTCAGAACTTTCTCCTATTGCTCAAATTCATCTAAACAGTTCAACTCACAGGTTTACTGTACTTAACAACAAAAATCATTCAAATTAGTATTTTAGAGCTTCTTTTTGAATTCCACATGTAAAAAGTGTGTTCATCCTTTGTCAAGTTATATATGCAGTATTTTTTGTACATATAAGTCACAGATTGTCTCTGAAGAAACATGTAATAGAATCATAGACTGGTAAGGGTCGGAAGGGACCTTAAAGATCATATAGTTCGAACCTACGCCGGCTTGGCAGGGATACTTTTCACTAGATCAGTTTGCTCAAAGCCCCATGCAGCCTGGCCTTGAACAATCCACAGCTTCTCTGGACTACCTGTTCCAGTGACTCACCATCCTCATGGTGAAGAATTTCTTCCGAATATCTAATCTAAATCTGCCTTCTTTAAGCAGCCATCCCCCCTTGTCCTATCACTACACATCCTTGTAAAAGTCCATCTCCATCCTTCCTGTCGGTCCCCTTCAGTTACTGAAAGGCTGCAATCTGGTCTCCACACAGCCTTCTCTTCTCCAGGCTGAACAAGCCCAACTCTCTCAGCTTGTCCTCGTAGGAAAGGTGCTCCATCTTCGTGGCCCTCCTCTGGACCCGCTCCAACACATCCATGTCCTTCTTATGTTGAAGGCTCCAGAGCTGGACGCAGTACTCCAGGTGGGGTCTCACAAGAGTGGAGTAGAGGGGCAGAATCACCTCCCTCGACCTGCTGGCAACGCTTCTCTTAATGCAGCCCAGGATACAGATGAACTTCTGGGCTGCAAGTGCACTTTGCTGGCTCAACACCCAGCCTGTATTTTTTGCTTGGAATTGCCCGGATCCGTGTGCGAGAAATTGCACTTGGCCTTGAACTTCACGAGGTTCGCACAGGCCCACCTCTCAAGTCTGTTCAGGTCACTCTGGATAGCATCCTATCCATCCAGCCTGTCGACAGCAGCACACAGCTTGGTGTCATCAGCAAAAGTGTTGAGGGTGCATTCAGACCCACTGTCCGTTTCCCTGACAAAGATGTTAAATAGCACCCATCCCAGTACTGACCCCTGAGGAAAACGGCATGTCACTGGTGTCCTGTTGGACATGGAGCTGTTGACCGCAAATCTTTGGGTGCAACCGTACAGCCAATTCCTTATCCATCATATCCATTTTTCTCCAATTTAGTAACATGTATGTCATGCAAGACAGTTTCAAATGCTTTGCTGAAGTCGAGGTAAATACTGTCAGTTGCTCTTCCTTTATCCACCAACACAGGAAACATATCGTAGAAGCCCACCAGATACGTCAGGAATGATTTTCCCTTTGTGAAGCCATGTTGGCTGTCACCAATCACCGAATTTTCTGCATGGCTTAGCATAGTTTCCTGGAGTATCTTGCCGGACACAGTTGTGACACTGACTGGCATGTAGTTTCCCGGGTCTTCTTTCCCTTTTTAAAAAGGGGAGTTATATTTCCCTTTCTCCAGTCACTGGGAACTTCACTGGGCTGCCATGAATTATCAAACACGATGGATAGTGGCTTAGCAACTTCATCAGTTAGTTTTCTAGGACCCGTGGGTACACCTCATCATGTCCCATGGACTGGTCCATGTTCAGTTTGCTTAGATGTATTAAACCTGATCTTGTTGTACAGTGGGCTGTTCTTCATTCTTCCAGTCCGTGCCTTTGCCTTGTAGCACTTGGGCTGTGCGGCTAGAGTACTTGCCAGTGAAGACTGAGGCAAAAAAGTCACGAAGTACTTCAGTGTTCTCCATATCACAGGTAACCAGGTTTCACATTTCCTTTCAGAGAAGTCTCACATTTTCATTAGTCTTCTCTTTTTATCTCTGACGTCGCTATAGAAGTTTTCCTTGTTGCCCTTGACATACCTGGCCAGATGTAACTCTATCAGGGCTTTAACTTTCCTTACCTGATCCCTGCCTGCTTGGACAATTTCTGTG